GAAGAATAACACTTATGAGCTAGCAAAACTTCCTAAAGGTAAAAAAAGCATTGAAAAATAAATAGGCGTTGAAGCTGAAGAATGAAGGTGAAAAGTTAGTGAAATATAAATCTCAATTGGTGATGAAGAGCTTCGATCAGAAGAAAGGGATTGACTTTGATGAGATATTATCTCCTATTGTCAAAATGACTTTCATTTGACTGGTTTTGGGTTTAGTAGGTAGTTCGAATCTTGGGTTTAAGCAGTTAGATGTGAAAGTCTTTCTCCATGGTGATTTGGAAGAAAAAATCTACACGATTCAATCAAAGGGATTTGAAGAAAAAGGAAAAGAACATATGGTTTGCAGGTTGAAAAAGAGTTTGTATGGGTTGAAACAGGCCCCCCAAGACAGTTATATAAAAAGTTTGATTCTTTTATAGTGGGTCATGGTTATAACAAGATAGATGCAGATCATTGTGTTTATGTTAGAGAATTTCATTGTGGTAACTCTATCGTCCTTTTACTATATGTAAATGATATGTTGATAGTAGGGCAAGATGTTCAGTTGATACGTAGTTTGAAGGCATATTTGACATGAAGAATCTTGGACCAACACGGCAAATTTTGGGGATGCATATTCGTCGTAATAGAAAAGCCAGAAGGTTGGTACCTACTTTTATTAAAATTACCCTCATTTTTTTTCAAATTTTTAATTTTTTTTTTCACGGGCAAACGAGTTAACCGTGGCCTAGTAAAGGTGCAACCCGCGAAACCCGCGTGTCACACCTCCTTAACCCGTGAACCGCCCGCTTAGGTTATGGATCGACCAGCGATCCCAGGTTGATTCAGACCGGTTTTCACGGGTCTGGCCGACCCGTACGTCTTGACACCTCTAATATTTTCTACACAATACAAAGTGGAGATTTCTCTAAGTGGTGTATTTTGAGAACTTCATAGGTGTAGTAATCAAAGTGGGTTTCTCACATTGTTCATCAAACTAGTGGAGTGAGATTATTGTTTACTTAGAGGTTGATCATTGTTGTTTTTCTAATTTGTTGAGAACTCAAGTTTTTGGGCATAAATTTGAACATTTTAATCTTGGTTTATTATAGTGAATTTGGCCAGAATTGTCCCATAGTTTTTTTACCTCTACATTGGAGGGGTTTTTTTCACATAAAATTCGATGTTGTGTTCTCTTATATTACTTTCCATATTTTCTTTTTGGTATTTAGCTATTTGCTTGGATTGAATTGAATTGTTAATTTATTCTTGCAAGAAAAGAAATTGCTCAACAGAGCGAGGGAGGAGTGAATCCAATAACCATAGACCATGCATGTGTGAGAAAGCAGTCTTTCAACTCCATAATTACATGTAATAGCAAATTGTTTATGCCACTAAACTATGTCTGATAGAAATTTTAATCTAGATTTTTATCAAAGTCAAAATTATCAATTTATTTTAACCACATTTTCATGAATCTTACAATTTTTCAACCACACATTTCATCAACTTTTATAAAAAAAATTATTAAAATTCTAATTTTAATCCCCACCAAATTAATACGTACAAAGTAGCATTCGTTAAGGATTATATGGTTGGAAGGTAGAATCAATAAATATGAATGAAGCATCTGGTAGCCTTTTGCCCTTTCTCATTTGTTTTGTAGCATTACATTCATATGTAAATGTCAACCTTTGGCCCAATTTAGGCTATTTCCTGGAAAATAAGTGGTGGTTTCAACAACAATTTACTTGAAGAAGAACATCTTTACATCGTTATATTAACGTATGCATCGAATAGTGGAGTCAGATATTTCGCGACAAGGAACTAAAGTCTTTTTGAAGGATGAAAATATACACGCATTATGTATATATTACGAGTTTCAAAATTTCTACAAGAAATATCAAAATGTTGTGGAGCAGTCACCGGCCATTATTCATTGTGTCACTGACTGCATTGCCAACCATCAGATATGTTATAAATTCGGTGTGACTTGAATTTTTATTGAGTATTTGATTGAAAATATTGTTGGAGGACTATTGGAAGTTTGTTGTAGACATGAAGATGCTTTGAAAGAGTTCAAGATGTAATATGATCCTAATTTCGTTTTATAGCATCTTTTTACTCCTATTTCATCCCAAATATTCCATTATTGGATTTACATATTATAATATGACTTCACCTTATGTTAGACTCTTGTTTGTATTACTCCTAATATTTTGGGATTCTTGTATTATAAATATGTGAGGAATTATACATATTTATTTGATCGACTCAGAGTGATTCAAAATAATCTAGAGGGACTTGCATATTAAAGAGGTCAGGTTGAGAGTCTGGTGGGACCTAGATTCTCATTACATGCTTGTAACTTCTTACTATTAATTATAATGAATTATCCGTCTCTACACAGGGTTTTCTCGGATTTGAATTTTCACGTTAAATCTTATGTTATTGTGTGATTATTTTCATTTGTCATATTTTCTTGTCTTTAATATTCATAACAAGTGTTATAAGTTCTATCGCCGAGTTATTGCAAATTAGCTTGTTTTATAACAAGATAGAATTTTAAATACAAATCTTCGTTTAAAGATATATGAGATTGTGTTTAACGATATAAGATGCACATGGTAAGGTCAACCGATTTTTGTTTTTTTTAAAGACAGTACAAATGCTTGCAAAAATAGTGGGTTGAGGATGAGAAGAGAGTCAGGTAGCTGAAAATTTGTGGCCGACGAGGAGGAGCTGAGTAGTGGAAAATGTTACAAATGCCAGGGTGTGGAAATTTTTAATTTTTTGTGGGTGGCCAATGCAAAAATCATATTAACCAAGACTCTGGAAATTTCTACTGAAATATCATTAAGGGGGTGTTTGGTAGTGATTTGAGAATTGATCAGAGTTTGCTTTTCTGCTCGTTTTTAATCATTAGACATACTGAATAACATTAAACTGGAAACCAAATTAGCTTATTCCGAAGTTGAGAGGAAAGCTTTATGGATGCACAATAATTAAGTGCATAATAACCAAAATGGGACCACAAGTTGAACTTAATTTATTTGCTTATAATGCAACAACAATGAATTAATTGTAATCAATTATTATAACCCCACCTTTACTAAATTCTGTTAAAATGTCACCCACAAGTAGTTCAAAGAGTCAACGTAAAGGAATTGTTTATAAATAGTATAGATTATAAATAGACCGAAATTAGTGATGAATAAACGGATAGAATTTGTGGATCAAACGAAATATGTGATAAAAGTCGATCATAAACAACTTATAATTGTTTCTGGCACTTCGATTCTTGAAAATGTATAATTCTTGAAAAAATAAGAAGGCATACTACGTCTTACTTGGATTTCTCTTTTGCCCAGAACCTAAAAGCGATTAAAGACTATTCCAGAAAAATCTGCATCAGAAGAATCTCCTCATATTTCAATGCAAGAAATCAAGCTAAAAGTGATAAATTTCAGAAGAAAAAATAAGAAGGCATACTTTTCTTACAAAGTAGAAAAGCAGGATCTTAGTGCATTTGATTTGTCAAAGAAAAATATTAAATGAGGAACCATTCATCTTTTAATGCAGAGCTCAAATTACAGATAAAAATAGGAACATTTATTTTTGGGGGTCCAAACTGGGACCAAACAAATTAAAGTGACTTCAAAATGTTGGTCCAAGATAAGCAAGGGTAACTTAGAACTTCGTGGTGTCCGTAGTATGGCCATGGAGATTCAGACCTGCTTTAATTAGTTAGTAAAGTAGCTACATCGAGTATAAATATCTAGCAAACATGTAAAACGTGTCTTTTATATTTTGTGGATATTCATGATTCTATACAATGAACTGTGCAAATTCCAAAAGAACAGAGAGTAAATGCATACAGAATAATCACAAGGCAGTTCTAGCCAACAAAAAAAAGGGATCAAAACTGCGAAAGAAAGATGATAAAATGTGTAAAGCACAACATGAAAAGAAGCACTATGAACCCCATTTGCAAGTTTAACAAGAAATTGTAAATCTAGGCATATTGTTTCATATCTGAACCACGAGGTTGATTTGAACCCATTTGGCATGACTTTTGAGATTCAAAAGTTGCTTTTGAACCCCTTAGGCTAATTTATGAAAATACTTCTAGTTAAAAGAGTTCTTAGAGAAAACTAGTTCAATGTGACTTCTTCCACAAACACTCATTGACTAGGAAGTTTTTAAAAATGAGTTTTCAAACAAAAATTAAGATAACTCCCTCATGAAACTCTTCTACAGAAATCAAAAGCCATGTCAAACAGGCTCAACTAAAAAGCATGGCAGAAAAATGAAAGTCAAAAAGTGTAAAACAGAAAGACACAAAGCTTCTCAGACTTTACTAACGTGCTCCTGCTGTATTAATCTAACGTGCTCCTGCTGTATTAATCTAATTCTATTATCCGAAGTAATACAAAGTAACTTTCTGAAATCCGCAAACTTAAAGCAACAATTTCAAGTACTTCCAGCTGCAAAACTGTGCAATTCTTACCCTATAGCAGACCTGATAACGAACATAAGGTAGGGATTACCCTTGCTAGAAATGCTATTTGGAAAAACATTTTACGATACAGAGAAGTACGTGCTTAAGGTTGATAGATAATTGTATAACATCACATACGTGCTATGAAAAGTTGTATAAAAGAAAAAAACAATTCACAAATAGGGAATAACTATATAAACAATGTAATTGTAAGCGCTGAATATCAATGTACTTGATTATCAATAATGAAAAATGACATACACGATCCAGTAATCTAATAACTTGATCCATAAACAGGAAGATAAAGAAAACAGCAAGAAAAGACTTTCTTGTTGGAGCCCATGGAACAAAACATTTGGGGAAATTCAGAGTTCATGTAACCTCCTCAAGGAGAGTAGAAGACTGAATCAATGCTCACATTTGATTAGTAAACTATAGTAGAAGCTTTAACTATACTCTAGCAGGGACATCCTAAACATGATGTACCAGTTAGAATAAGGAAGCCTCTAGAGTCACTGCTTCAAGTCACATGCCTATGGCCGACATGGTAATGGTCCCATCCTCCCTCTGGTTCTTTCCTTTTCATCAGCTTTGCGAACCAAGCTTCTTGATTGACAGATTGATCATATGAATTTTTGGTAGGCAATGTAAATTCCCTGGCTTTATCCCTCTTGCTTACACTAGTTGATGAGCCGTCCTCACTTTCGACGTCAATTCTGTGTCTAGAACCTGTAATGTCAACACAGTTCTGTCCATGAGCAACCTCCACTAGACGTGGGATCCCAAGAGAGGTGAGAACTGTTTCGGGCTTCAGCAACTGAGGATCTCTCACACAGGGTATGGTGCCAGGGTAGTGCATATTGAACATAAAGGGCTTCATAGGGCCAATGTGTAATGGAGCATGAGAAGGGTAATTGGGAGGTGGTAACATATGCAATGGGTATGGTAACTTTGGTTGCAGAGGAGAAACCCCCTGCATCTCCTCAATTTGTTTTAGGACATTTGGTGCAGCCATCATGTGTGAATGGGCATGAGTATTCGTAAAAACATTCACAAAACTCAAATCTGGCAAGTAAGTGGATCTAGTAAAATTAACATCATGTTCTATGGAATTCACAGAAAACGATGCTTTGTTTTCCGAAGGTTGGCTAACTTGGCCTTGCCAGGCAACATTATTGCACGTGTCTCTGGCTGATGTGTTAGCATTCAAGTCCAAATCTGCCAAATAGAGATTTCTCGATTCAGCTGGAAGAGAAGATTGAGGGGACTCATCAACATCATCACAAAGGCAATTGAGATCAATGTCAAGCCTCTCAGCTTGTCTGAAACCAACTTCTGAACAAGAATCTTGAATCTGCTCATGCTCCATTTGAAATCCAATCTCCGAAGTATCTTCTATAGCAGCAACATTGAGGTCAATTCCTGTGAAATTGCTAGAATATGGGTTCTTATCGAAACTCTTCGAAAGAGAAGCAGGACGGAAAGCACTGGTAGCAGCAGAACCCTTCCAACCTAATCCACCTTCAAACTTCAATGATCCCATAGGTCTACCCCTAGGAACCCCAGATTTTGCTACGACGTGTATAACGTTATGAGAAGATATGGTTTCAACAACAGACTGCTCACCATCATCTAACTCGTTTGTGTTGATAGCTTCATTCAGATCAAATCCAACAAAAGATGAAATATGATCCCTGGCAAAAACTTTCGTAGGTTTTGTCAACTCAGATGAGTCATACAACAGAAAGCCATCATTAATTTTATCAGTCATTTTAGGATCCATTTTGACCGATTCATCATTGCCAGACAACATATTTTCACTTTCTCCTGATATTTTAGGATTTATCATTACCTTCTTGGAACAGAAAGGGATATGGTTATCATTTTCACCAGATGATCTTATATTTTCTTCCATTTCAGTAGAGCAGTTGAAATTTTTTGAATTGCCAGAGCAAATTAAACTTTTACCAATGGTAACATCACGTTGTTCTTCATACGACAAGGTGCATCCTGAGACACATATGTACGCATCAGTCTCTTCATCAACTTCTCTTGCACCATCCCTAGGTGTCCTCAATGCAGAACCCCACTCATGAGAATTCTCTTCATCTGTCCTTGACATATTTCCGTTCTCCTCATTCTGTGGACCGGATATTGGAGTATTTGCCTTTACACTATTAAATGACATCCGATTCTCAATCATCAAAGGTGCCTTCACACCATTCCTGTATCTTCCCTTGATAATAGCCTTATGATCAACTTGAATGGATACACCTGATTCTGAACTGGCTGTCACAGGCTCTTCCATTCTATGGTGAAACCCTGTAGAGTTAGAACTGCTCACAGAACCACTGTTGTTATTGAATGAACTGGCTCTTTTTAAGGTTTCCCGCTGGTTGTGATTAACTGGAAGGATGCCAGACGATGAGTCAGAACATGAAGATTCAGTCTTGTTCTGTTTAACATGCATGATCACATTGAAGCCATCTTCAACAGCATTCAGATGATTCCCCTGTTTTTTCCCAACATCCATTATGTAATTTTCATTGCTGAGAGGTAATACATTCTCCATGCTGATATCACTCTTCGCTGATAGAGGCCATGCCAAAGTGATTCTGTCTGATGATTGTGTAGAAATTTCACAACTTTTTGATGATACATGTTCGTTCTTAGTAGGTGCTGATTCAAAAGTTTGTTCAGCAGAAGTTATTGACATTGAGATAACAGAAGACCATGGTCTCACGCTACCAGCACTATCTTCATTTGTGCCACTGGCAGAAACAGCAACATGGTTTGGGAACTTCTCATTCCTGGTCAATAAATTGGCTTTGCAACTGCTGCTCTTTTGGCCAGCCATGTGTCTCAGATTCCCACAATGAACACAAATACTTCACAAGAAGGTACAGTTCCCAAGATTAACTACTTTCATAAGAACACAATTGATTGCCGAGGTCATCTATTTCATACAATGCAGCAGAACAAGAACGTAAAGTGGTGTAATAGACTTTTTCAAAGCCCATCTACTGTGTCAGATCATCTCACAGTCCTTCGGATTCTCCTGATTTAAAACAGATGCCATTTGTTATCTTCTATCTATATTCTTGAAATTTACAAGTCACGAGTGTAATTCCTGCAGGATTAATATCCACAACAGTTAAAAGTTCTTCAAAGGAAGCACAGAAGTCTCCAACTTTTTGCCTTCACGACAATATAGCATATATATATGTTCTCATAAAGTTTTGCAGCCTTCAAGAAGGTCAGAGCAATTTGCTATACTGAATAATCGGAACGTGTATGCTGACCAGATTAAGAAGAGTGCATAATGTACCACAATATAATGACAAGTTAACAAAGTTCCAGATTACGCCACAGGCAATAGAGTAAAATTTATTCGATTCCACCTTAATGAAGAAGCAATACCCTTTCATTAGGCAACAAGATTAAGCATCAATTCGTGCAAGAGACCAAATAAACAGATAGCATAACAGTGACCAATTCCCCAAAATTGCAAGCCAATAAAATGAAAACAGTCAAAAAAATTAGCAGAATATTTTCAACAGATATAAAAAATGATACAAATTGCTAATAGAACAGGGTGGATCTAGAAGAAAAAACTACAGTGATTTAAAGCAACCAGCATAAACCCTTCAAAAAATAGCACAATGGAAAACCCACAAACAAAAACTTGAAAACACATGGATCAGATACATAAACGCTAAATGACTGCCAATTTATACCAAACGAAAAATCTCAAGCTTCAGAAACTTAAATGGAAAAACCTTTTATAAATTTCAAAAAATCATGTTCCCGTACACCTTTAGCTTCATGTACTGGAGAACAGTACCAAAAGAAAAATGAGATCTTTATAAAGGGAAAACATTTATGAAGAAGAAAGACAAATTACCTGAGCTGTGCAAAGAACAGAGATCATTAAAGACTGCAAATCTTGAATTAATGGTCTCAAATTTCAACACAAATAACTTTCAATACCCAAAATCTCAGATGAAAGAGAGGAGAAAATAGGGTGCCCGTTCCCTTTTTTGCTTGAATGTGAAAAGTAACCCTCTTTTTTCCTTAATTGTTTCTCTCTCCCCCACTATGAAAAGTCCCACCAAATGAAGCTGACGGAAACAGAAAATACATATAACAATCTCACGGTCATAGATAGATTCACAAATTCATATGCCTACAATAATGTAAGCAGTGGACAGTGGTGAGATCCAATTGTTTGGTGTATTGAGAAAGCGATGTGCAGCCCAGCTAGCAGATGACAGTGTGGGCGCGTCAGAATCAAAGTGAAGTGTGAAGGATGCACAGTGGGTCCAAGAGAGTCTGACAAAAAGTGGGATCCGCAGTGTAATAAGTGGGGATAGAGACAGGGGTCCACATAACAAGACTACAGGAATCATCAGCTTCAAAGAATGAATATTTAACTAACAAAACAATGTTGTAGTCTTGTAATTGTAGATGACCTGTCTTTTCAATGCTTCCAGCTTCGAGCACTAACCATGCGTTTGGATAATAATTCTCTTTAGTCGATAAAATGTCGTCAATGAATAAAAAAGTTGATTTTTTAATGCGGATTATTCTCCTTGTACATTATGGTAGCGCCACCCTATTGGATGGAGTGTCGATCCCACCTGCACTCCATCCAATATGATGGTGCCGTGTGTCAATTATGGACACCCTTATGTACACTATAATGTACATGTAGCAGAGCCCTTTTAATGTAAATAACAAGCTTGAGGGGAGGGCATATCTTAAGGAAATTTGCTTCGTGTACAAAAGCATAAGCTATAGAAGACCAACAAAACACACACGGTGGGGTTCCCAATTTTTTCTTTTAATGCAAGGTGGAGCCCCCACATTGTGAGTATTCTGGTGGCTTTTTGGCAAAATCATTTCTATACAAATTATTTTATTGTTTCTTAAGAGAGATCTCCTCTGTTTGATTTCTTTGTCCCCGGCCCTGTTTGAACAGTGTTAGTGATCTTAAGATAGGAAATTTTAAGAGAATTCTCGAGCTTCTTTGTGGAAATTGGGAGAATTGTACCTTAATCATGAGCTATACTTTATTGAAATTTTGAATTAAATAATGACAATATCATCTATCAACTTGTATCAAAAATAGAAGTCTTGTATTCGAGATGAGCTATTAACGAGCATAAGATGCAAGAATATGTTTGACAATGAGGATGGATCAATATACTCAAGATAGATTGGTGGATTTTGATTTGGGAAAAGTTCAAAAGTAAGGGATTAACTATATACAATTTAAAAATCATATTTTAAGTTTAACTAATGCAAAAATCAGGTTTTAGTTAATTAATTAAAAATATTTATTAATCAAATATGGGAAAAGTTCAAAAGTAAGGGATTAACTATACACAATTCAAAAATCAGGTTTTAAGTTTGACTAATGCAAAAATTAGGTTTTAGTTAATTAATTAAAAATATTTATTAATTAAATATAATAAGATCACAGTTATATAATTAATGGTCACATGTCACATATTTTAAAATTAATTGATCACAGATTATTTCGATGTCACAGATCAAAAATTTTGTACGTCACAGATTATTTCGAGGTCACAAATTTTTAAATTAGTAGGTCACAGATTATTTTTGAGCCACATATTATTAAATTTTTAGATCACAATTGAGTAATTTGTCACAAATTATCAAACATTTGGTCACAGACTACCGCCACTACCACTATGGCCACTTTCGACTACCCTCACCACTGTCGCCACCGCTACAACAGCACCAACAAACCTGCCAACAAATCAGATCACACTACCACCACTACCTCACGAGCGCCGTCAACCTCAACACCACCTGCCAAGAACTGCAAATACAACCAACAAAAACCATCCCCAAAATGATTTATAATGAACTGGTATTGCTTGAACCAGGCATATTGGAGGGAAGAAACACCACATCTACGTCGTAGCGTGCAGAGCAGCGCTCACAACACTGTCGCAACGACTACGACTAGAGCGCGGAGTCTCGCACAGCGCCGCTACTACAGCGGCATTGAACAATCAGAAGTGCTAGTATTCTTCTCCGGCACATTGCTGTTCCTAAATTTCTTAAAACCACTGGTGTCAGTGGAACTGCCGCCTACTGAACCACTACTTCCAGCTGAAGCAAGACGGCGGAGAAGAGAGACTGTGGAGAGAGGGGGAAATGATGAAAAAGAAAGGAGAAATAGATATAGGGCTTGGCCTTCCTCGCGTTGGCCCCGTCACCATCCTCACCATGAGACAGTCGGCGGTCATGAGAGAGTGAGAGAGAAACTGAGATAAGAGAGTGAGAGAACAATTGAAATTATTAGGGTATGTAATTAAATTGGGTGGATAATGTTTAATTTATAGATACTTGATTTTTGAATAATAAATCTTGATCCCTAATTTTTGAATTCTAATCGTAAAACGTCTGGAATTATGTAATTTCCACTTTTGATTTTGCCTCTCCTGAAACCCCATGTGTTCTTTAAGCAGCGTGCTAGACTCCCTACCAATTGTAGGCCCCCAACCATGTCAACGGGATCTATTTCCTATAGTACTCATAAATATAATGAAATAAGGGAATATTTCTCCTCCCTAGCAATTTCATAGTGTGGATTATACCTCTATAAAAGGAATGAAAGCTCAAAATTTCAAAAAAAAAAAAGCAGTTTGATCCATCTCAAACAAACAAAAATCTAAGATTTATGTTATTTAATGAACCACCATTTTACAAGTTATTTTAAATTCCCCTTTTTCTTATTTGTTTGACAAACATTGCCCGACTCTGGCTATAACTTGTGTAGGAACTTTGAATGCTATATATTTAAATGCTACATATTTAACGTTTACTGGGTCCATTGCATGTGCCTATGCATCAGACAACAATTTGTATGTATTAAATTTTTCTTTCAAGGTACATATCCAAATATAATATGAACAGATTTATGATTCACTTGGTCTCGATTTGACCATCAATTCAATATATTAATACAATTGGATATATAAAAATAAGTAATTTTATTCATCATCACTATTCAATGATCACCACAGATAAACATTTCTTGTCAACTGCATAAACCCAAGACTTGGTTAGATTCTGCAGACAAGATATAAACTCTTTTCTATTATTCCAAGAATACATAGATGGAATAGATACATGGTCTCAAGATTCAGAACACCAAAGTGAGTAGCTTATTTTTTACACTTAGGACGAGAAATGCCGAAGTTTTTCACTAGGATGAAATCACAACCTTCCAACACTGAATCTGAATCAATATCAGTTAGCTAACAAAATATTCTCAAAAATATAAACTTCTTAGTTGCCACAAGAAAGCAACAATAACAAGAGAACCAACCATTGAAAAAGAATCAGAGTACAAAACATCATACAAATCGACCAATTGACTTTTTCTTATAAACAGAATTTTCCTTCATGTTTTATAACAGAATATTGTGTTACGGGACATTTTAACCTTGATAGGCAGCAATAACCGCATATCCGACATCAAAATCATAAAGAATAGAACGTATAAGTAACGTAGGAAAAAGAAAAGGAAAATAAAGAAGCCATGAAGGAATTTATTCTTCATAAGAAGAGAAACATCAAAATTTCTCCCCATAGTAATAACCTGTTCCAAGCATTAGAGCCACAGTAGAACCTTGGGCAACCACACGAGATCTCATTAGTTTCTGACCCAAGTTAGAATTTCCCTGTCTGAAACTAATCAGACCAGCTGTGAGAACTCCCGGGGTCATAAGTGCACCTGAAATACAAGGCCCTCGAATATATGTTGTGGCTAATCAAAGAAATCTTCAATAACAAACAACGAAAATCGTTACTAGCATA